TGTCCCCCCCCCTCCCATTCCCCCCCAGCCACGGGCTGGGAGGGTTTGGGTGGGTGCCAGCCAGTCCCTTTCAGCTGGGGCTCAGCACGCCTGAGCCTCCCACCCCGCAGCGTTTCCTTGGTCTGACCCAAAACAGGAGCCCCTGAGGTGCTGGTTTCTGCTGGGCTCAGGGGAACGTGGCTGAGACACTGCAGGGAGAGTGTCCCCCCCCTCCCTGTGAGCCCCCCAGGAAGAGGGTCCTCACCAGCACAGGCAGCTGAGAACTTCAATCCCACTTACAGACTTCCATGCACTTCCGAGTGCTGGACTCTCAAATCCCTCAGAACCCTGAAAACCCCAGCACACCCTCCCCACCTGCCTCAGTTTCCCCACCCACGATGAGTTTTGCTCTCTGTGGCTGCTTCCCTCACCCTGGGGGTCCGCCATGCACCACGGACCCCTCCAACCTCCCCTGCACACCCTATCGGGGTGTCCCCTGGCTGTTTTGGGGACAGACTCAGCGTCCCCTGTCCCTCTCACCAAGTTGAAGATGAGCCCTCGCTCGTGGGGTGCGGGCAGGGCCGGGGGCAGCAGCAGCAGCAGGGCCAGGAGCAGGCGGAGGGGCAGGATGGTGGCCATGGTGGGCTGGTTGGGGGCTGTGCTGTGGGCCCAGGAGGTGCTTTATAGCCGACGTCTCCATCAGCTGATGCAGCTGCTCCTATCACACCCCAACCCGTGGCACTGGGGCAGGGCCTGCGACGGCCGTGCCTGTGGCACAGGTGACATCCATGGGCCAGGTGACATCCATGCTGCCAGGTGACATCCATGCTGCCAGGCGATGCCACGACAGGAACATCTCACCCTGTCCCACCCAGCCCCGGCGATGCCGACCTGCCCCTTGGCAGCTCCTTTGGGCAAAGCAGTCACAAAGTAGTGGCAGTTCCCTGGGGAGGGCTTGCCAGCCCTCTCTCCTCTCCTGCACCCTGACCCCCCAGGAGCTGGGGCTCCCCAGGACTCTCTCCTTGCTGGTGCTGTTGATGGGTTCATGGGCAAACCACGGCAGGAGCTCTGCTCTGTAGGAAGGTGCCCACCCCCAGATCCTCCATCTCTCAAATGTTATGATCACAGACACCAAGACACCTGCTCAAGAAAGCCCCCAGTGTGGCAGGGCTGAGCCCACCCCCCTGCCAGCCTCGCTTGGTGCTCCAGAGGCCACCAGGGTCCCCACTGTGGGCCACCCACCGCAGCCTGCCAGGTGTTTGCTCCGTGTTTTGGTGCTTGGGGGTTGTGCCTGATGAAAGGATAAACAGCCCTGGGAATGGAGCAGCTTTTCAGGCCTGTCTTGGCCCTGCTGCTCTGGGCAATGATTAACAGCAGGGCAGCCCTGGCCTTTGGTGGCCCTGGGGGTGGTTGTCAGGCTGGCATGTGGCACCTGGGCCCTGGGTGGGAGCTGGGCAGCATCCTGCTGAGGTGAGGCAGGTGTGGATCTTGGAGAAAGGTCCCCAGGTGGATGGAAGTGCCTGCAGCACATCGGGGCAGGCTCCATGGTCAACAGGACATGAGGGCTGGGCAAAGACCTGGCCCTGCCACGGGAGCCTTTTCCCTTTCTGCTGTGGGATGAGGGGACAGTTCCCTCCCTGCCTGCTGCCCCAGCTACCCCTGGAGCTGAGAGGGGGGTCCAGGGACCTGCAGCCCCCTACCCCAATGGTGCAGCACCCCATGCACCCTCCTCCAGGGAGGAAAGACCCTGGTGACACTCACTGGGAGGGCAGAGGGGAGCAGCAGAGGGGTCACAGTGTCTGGGACACGTCCTGGAGCAGAGCCTGGGTCAATCCCGGGAAACACACTGGGAGGGCAAGAAACATCCTGGGGAACATCCCAACAACCATCCTGGGGCACGTGGCACATCCTGAGACACATCCAGGGATGCACCACCCATCCCGGGACCCAAAGCACGGGCACAAAGCATCCCGGGGATACGGGGGACACCCCAGGGACACCTCCTGGGGATACAGAGTGCATCCCGGGGGAATGGGGTCCTGCCAGGGGCATCTCCCAGGGACACAGGGCACAACCTAGGGGTGCATCCCAGGGGCTCACCCTAAGGGCTCATCCCGGGAGCTCAGCCCGGGGTCCTGCGGCCCCAACCCGTGGACAGAGAGAGGGCTCATCCCGGGACCCCAGGGCTCATCTCGAGAGAAGACCCTGGGGACACAGGGCACATTCTAGGATCCCATCCCTGGATCCCATCCCTGGATCCCATCCCTGGATCCCATCCCTGGATCCCACCCCGGCATCTCAAG